CAAGTTGTCCTTTGGAGATGAATCGAGTGTGTACCACCCCCTACCAAGGAGTAGAAGAAACACTAACAGAAAACATGGTAATAGTTGTAAGATATATGTAATAAAAAAGTTATTGAAAAAATAAATATTGACAACCTATCCACCACCAAGAAATTGTCCAAAAGAATTGAGACATGACCTACTCATCACATCAACATAATTAGGAACACCATCTATTTCTAGGGATAATTTCAAAAGAGGAGGAGCCTACATAGATTTAGATCTTTTAGTAAAACTCAGCCACCAACTAAAAGCATGTGTGAATCCCCTTGAACCTTTGTCCTAGTGCAACTAAAGGTTGAAGTAGCAATGCAAATGGAAATAAAACCCATTCGTTTAAGCATTTAAAAAAGAAAAAGAAAAAAGGAAAAAGCAGGAAACATTTCATGTAAAGCATTACCTAGTATTTTCCTTGAGCAATCTGCAAAGAAAGTCATATTTTAATCTTCAAAATAAATAATAAAGAAATTTGAAAATGAAACATCACTTGCAAGCTTAACAAAAACAGTCCAAAAACTTGTGGACAAATTCCTTGGAGCAATGAGAGCATAATTGGTTATAATTGTTCCTGAAATAGTTGCATGATTGGCAGAAGCCCGTATACCTGAATGAGCAAATGCAGAAGAGGTTGAATTCCCTGGAGGGTTGAAAGAAGAGGCCACACCCTCTAGGTGACTGATCATACTTCCAAACTTCTCATATTCTACCTTCATAGCTGCTAACTACTAACTGCTCACTATTAGTCATCTCTTCAGTTTGGTATCTGTCACTATCTGGACCAGCAGCAATATTGGCACTCCCTGATCTACTTGGAGTCCCTGCAACTCCCTTGGGTTTCACTCCCATATTAGCAAAGTGATCATTTAGACCAATCCCTTGAACCTGGACAAGTCTCCTGCTTTCTTCACTACTTACCAAGGCATAGGCTTGATGTAGTGAAACACTATCCTTTGATAAAATATTTTGTTTTGTGATGTCATACTCTAGATTCAGCTTTGTCAAAAACTCACACCTTGTTTGTCTCAACAAGTTTCCTGTAGGTCTCAGCATCATTAGTGGTGTCCCAAGCTACAGCTTCTATCAAATCAATTTCTTGCCATAAAGACTTCAGTATTGAGAAATAAACAGCTAACGGTTTCTCCCCCTGTCTCAAATTCTTCACATCACTTCTTAGCTTGTAAACCCTGGCCACATTTAATTTCTGGGAATAGGTTTCAGCAACACTATCCCAAATTTCCTTTGCTGAATTCATCCACAAATAGTGCTGACTAATCTACGGTTGCATTGAGTTCACAAGCCATCCAATAATAGTACAATTTTCTTGCATCCATTTTTCATATGATGGATCATCATCCGAAGAAGCCTTCTTGTTCCTAGAGATAAAACCCCATTTGCCTCTACTGCAGATATGAATTTTTACTAATTGTGTCCAAGCCAGATAATTAGTTCCATCTAGCTTGACTGTGGTCACAGCCAGTAGAGAGTCTACAAAGGCTCCCAGAACCTGTCCGGATTCAGCAACATGCTTGTTTTCAACTTCTGAGGGGTTCATCTTATTTAATACTTCGAAAATTACTTCTAACAACTTTGAATAACAACAAATGAAGACAGAACAAAAATTGTGTTGTGAGCCAACCTCTATGCAGCTGTACCAGCTACCTACCTCACACCCAGAAGCCAGGAGAAATAGAAAAATCTCAGCCGCTCCTTGTAGACTTCACAGAACACCAATCCACTTGATTTGATCTTCAAGATGAAGGATGAGAAGACTTTCAGTCACTGAGCACCTAGGTCAAACTCCCTGTGGGGCCTACAATCAGATTTCTCTAGAAAATTAGGGCTTCGAGCAACACACTTGAATCTATCAGGAGGACGACAAAACCAGTCCCCTTCTCTCCAGACAGCACTAACAACTAGGCTGAAATAGGATTCTTTAACTATTCATACGATTCAATTCTCCATACACACTGTGTATGGGAAAAAAGAGGTGAAAAAAGAGAAAAGTCGAGCCAACTCTGATACCAAGAAGAAAAACAGCCTTTTGAAAAGAAAGGACTGTTCAAAAAGTTGCAGATAATAAAAAAGAAGCAGTAAAATCAGGTTTCAAGAAGCGAGAAGAAGAAGAAGAAGGTTGCGGCAACTAGGGTTCAGAGAGAGAGATTTTTGAACATAACCTTCTCTCTTACACCCCTAATTCTATTTCATTAAGTTAAACTTTAATAATTTACAGAGAGGCCCCTAGTTGGGTGGAAAATTAAAAAACATAACACAAGAAAGAATAAAGCCCAGATTAAGGCCCATTACAACAAAGAAGAACATAAAAAATAAAAAAGGATAAACAGCCTATGGGCCATTCGTCCCATCTTCTCTACAAAATTAAAACTCAAGTTTTCTATGTCATTACTACAAACATACGATGCCCATTCTAGCCTGCAAAAATAACACGCAATGGTAGTAAAAATAGAACACCTCCAATTCGAACCTGTAAAACACAGATGAAAACAGGGTTGCAAAGAATAGCTGAAAAAAATGGATTGAACATGAATATTCAGGGGAGTCACATGTTTTGGTTGCATTGGGGTCCTCTTTGTCAAGAATATTCAGGGTCCTTTGTTTGCCTTTCCATGGATTTCATGGCTACTCTTGCTGTTTTGGAGTCAAAATGAGAGGAAAAAAATTAAGAAGATGAAGAAGAAGAAGTAGAATGAACACATACATACCTTTTGGATTGAATCGGTTCATGCTCAAACTTCTTGGTCATCTAAGTATAAAATACCTACTCTATCCTCTTGTTTCTACTCTCCGTGGATATCAAGGCTCCTCTAGAGTTTACAGGTGAACATAGAGAGAGATTAGCAACCGAAAAAGAAAGCAAGAAGGATACAGACTCAGCTATGTTGTTCCTGGTTCTCTGTCTTGAGAGAAGACAAAAAGGTCAGAGGGCGGGAGACGTTTTGGAAGTCCAAACGTCTCTCGCCTCTCATTGGATTTGATTACAATTACATTGATTTAAAAAAAGAAAAATAAAAAAAATAACAGAAAATTAGAATGGGATTTCCCACAAGGAGAGACATGCTGACATGGAATATTCCCTTTTAGGATGTAATATATAGATGCTATTGGTGGGGGTGGGACCACATGGAGAAGAGAGGAAAAGGGAGCTAGAGAAAGTATAGAGGGGCAGGTGTTGATTGAAGCTGAGTCGTTGGCTACAAATGGTTGAGTGGGGGCCTTAACGAAAAAGGAAACATTTTCAAAATTTTTTGGAAAAATGAAAAGGAGTGATGTTATTAAGTCGTTTGCTGGCATGGTTAAGAATGGGGCCGCAACTGATCTTGGACCGTATCCAGCATCCCGTCAGGCTCAACCCAGGCCATTAAACTTTGAGCCGGTTGGGTTGGGAATTAAGGCCTTGGGTTGGGTTGGTAGGCCAACTTAAAAGGATGCACGTGAGGAATTCAGATTAGCTGAACGCTTTGGCTGTTTAGGAGGCTATGGAACCAATGATGAGGTTCCACGCCAGTAATAAATTCATGGGCCCCACTTTGAAAGGTGTGGACCCTATGTATTTTATTACCAGTGTGGAACCTTTTCATTGGTTCCACAGCCTATTGAACAGCCAAAGCGTTCAGCAAAACCTTGCTCACACGTGAGGCATGCTAGGCTGATGGAAATGGAAATAAGGTTTTTGGAAGTAGGCCGACTAGGGATGATAAATTACATCTATCATTGTCCCCAAGCAGCCCCTCTACACAAACTAGGTCGTCTGCAATGCACTAGAGACCAATGTTTGATGTTCAAGGTAATCGTGCTATAAGTAGGGAGTGGTTAGGCTAGGGGAGTGGTCTCCTTGAAAGACAGAGGAAGACCAGGAGCAGAGAATCAACCAAGAGGTTAGGGTAAGGGAAGTGAGGAGACGGTTGGGCAGGGAGTCTGATGATAGGGTTGATTGAGAGTCGAATGCATCTTCGTTATGAGGAGGACCTTTATTTATAGGGAGGGACCCTAAGGTCCCAAAAGGAAGGAGCCAAAAGCACACTTTTCTATTAGGAAAGAGAATATTAGATTCGTTTGTCGGTCATTAAGGAACATTGCTAGGGTTTCGCCATGTGTTTTTATGAAATTTCTCAAGGGTTGACTTTCCTTTCACCCGAGGATTCTCATAATCCACGTGTACTACCGCCTTTTGCACCTTGCTTAACCGACTTGGCACTAGTGGCATCATTGCGTAGAGGGCAGCCTTTTATTAAACTCATGTGGCGCCTTATCACGCGTGCAACTTAAAATTACACATGTGGTTAATACTTAAATCCGGTTCTCGATGAGCCGCGGCTTTGTAATGGTCTGGGGTTTATCGCGAGATTGCGCTCCTCCGGAGTTCATCGCAGGACCACATGTGTTTGAGATTTATCGCAGAGTCGCGCGCGTCCAAGGTTCATCGTAGAACCGAATGTGTATAGAATTCATCGCTGGTTTAACTAGAACTTATTTTAGGCTCATGTCAAACGTGAGTCCATTGCGAACGTGCAATGAGCCGTGTGTTTATCGCAAATGTGCAATACACTACAAGTTCATCGCAGATGGCCAGTAAGCTAAAGACTGTTCGTGGGTATCCATATGGTATCAATTCAATGTCTTCTATACTCTGAAGGACTGAGCAAGCACTATGTACCTACACTTGCAACCAGAAGCGATCTGGATTGGCTGAACCCCAGATATTCTAGAGATCAAGATGACAACATTGAGGAGGCTGATGGTGGCTGGATAAGATGCACATCTTCAGACACAGGGACAATGAAGAAGATGAAGATAGGGAAGAAGTGTTTGAAACGGGTTTGCTTTTCAAGGAGGAAGAACTAAAAAAACAATCTAACTGTCCCCACCTTCTACAATGAACTTTACTACCATTTATTAGTCCTTTCATACATTGTAATAATTTCTTTTTGGTTGCATCTTTGCAGGTTATGTTTTATACATTGGCAGTGGTGACATTTGGTACTGCTGTTCCGGCTGGTCAATTTGTTCCCGAAATAATGATAGGTTCAACATATGGACGGCTTGTGGGGATGTTTGTGGTTAACTTTTACAAGAAGCTCAACATTGAGGAGGGAACGTGAGTATGATCCACCCCTTGCACACAGGGCTGAATAACAAGTATGGAATGTAGATAGCTTTATTGCTTGAATCTAATTTGTCATTGAGCATTGTTATGTTTATGTTAATATGGATTGTATAAAGGGGCTATAAATTCTTATAGGTAGATTTCAGAGGCTATATCTATTGAGGATATTTCAAATCATGTCTAGGAAGGGAAATATGTACTATGTATTTGATACATTTATGTGTACCAAGTTTCACACATAATAGACTTTTTCCTTTCTTTTTGTCAATCTAATAAGCTGTTAGCTGTTTGTTGGTAACGAAAAGGATGGCACCAATTAAAGAAAAGGATAGGTAAGATGGACACCATTTCCTAGAAGTCATTTTATGAATGTTGGGAACCACATATAAGGGGGATGGCCTGGTGGCTAGCCAAGGGCATAATGTAAGACTTAATCATGCTATTAACCTATAGTCATAGAATTTGTAGTAGCTTATGGTATGGCAATTGTTAACACATTTTTTCCAAAAGGATGGACACTTGATAACATTTAAAAGTGGATCAAACATAAGTCAGATAGAGTTTTTCCTTATTAGGAAAACAGAATGAATGACGTGTAAGGATTGCAGAGTTATCCCAAGGAAAAGCTTAACCACGTAAGATAGATTAGTGGTGGAAGATGTGTGCATTAGAAAATGAAATAGAAATCGGGAAAAATAGGTGTCCAAGAATAAGGTAGAAAAATCTAAAAGGAGAAAAATTAGCACAATTTAAAGACAGGTTGATAGTAGAATGAAAATGAGATTTAGATGGAAAGACTAATAAGATGTGGCTTCAAATGGCAAACTGCATGAAGAAAGTAGTAAAATATGTTTTAACAAAATATAAAGGGAAATGGAAAAGTTCTAAAGAAATTTGGTGGTTGAATGAAGAGGTTCAAAATATAATCAAGCATAACAAGCATGCTATAAGGATTTGAAAAAACCTAAAAATAGAGAAAAATATAAAACCATAAGAAAAAAAGTTAAAAAGAAAGTGAAGTTAAACTGAAGGCAATACAATCATAACCTAGGCACTAAAGAGGGAGGAAAAGGAATTTATAAACTAGCAAAGATGAGAGAAAGGAAAGGAAAAGATTTAAACTATGTCAGGTGTATTAAAGGCGAAGATCAAAGAATCTCCTCTTTCTCCACTCTAATAGTAAAATATTTCAGATTATAGCAGAAAAGGAAGAGAAGAAGAAGAAGACAGCAAGAGGAAGAAGGAAGAATGGCGAAGAAGGGAGTAAGAAGGAGGAGTTCGATAATCTCCTCTTTCTCCACTCTAATCTTTTATTAATCTTACTAAGATTACATAAATTACAAGCCTRCCCTTAAGTGGGTGTCCACCTCATCAGAATACTTAGAAAACATAAAAAGAATTAATCAATAACAAGAAAAGGCCCATTAAGAACAAAATAACAAGAAAGAACTAATCAATAAGATAATAATGGGCTAGGGTCCACTTGGCCCAGTCTCTCTACAGTTCCCAACCCAAATCCTGTCTTTTAAGGTTTTGTTTTCCAAAGTTTTCTAATTTTTTATAGCAGTCTGCCTATAACAACTGTTCAACAGAATCCCCAACCAGTCCTACATCAGTCCCTCAAGCTGTTTTATAGCTAGACTGTCTGCAATGGAATTTTCTGACCTCTAGACCTTATTAAGAGAACTTAAGATGTCAATAAATAATGAAATTAAATAAAAGCAAATAGTGAAGGTTAAACACTTGCTAGAAATTTCAAAAAATGCAAAATAAACTAAGAATTCATTTAAATAAGCTTTTGCTTTTGAGCTTTATGCAGTGGAAAACAAAATTGATCCAAAAAATGCTTTGGGAATTTGGTAAAAGTTGGTTTTTAAAAACATTATAATCTTTTAATCCCCAAGGCACAAAGCCTAAAATTGGGGCTTTGTGCTTTTGGGCTTTAAAAAGCACAAACCCTGAAGCTTATCCGAGTGCAACATGAAACTCCTAAACTTTGGGAAGTTGAATCTATGAGAGACACTTAAAGATTATGGATTGCACTCCCATCAATTTCTCCAAGTCCAAGACCCCTTCAATGATATGAGATAAAGAAAACCATTTGCACCTCATGAACTGTCAAGAAGACATCTCACCACCTAGAAAGTCATGTGAGTAGAGGAACTGGCTTGTAATAGAATCTTTTGAAGCTTCTCCCTTGCTTATCTTTACCATACTTTTGTTTTCTATGGCTTAAACATCAAATATGTTGTCTTTTTCTAAGGTCCTTAGTAATTACAAATTTATTTTACTGGAATTAGAAGTGAGTTGCTGAGTTGAATTCAATTATCTTTTATTCTCAATATAGCCTATGTTTAGACTCTAATTTCCTGATTTAGGTTGTTGTCCTTTTTCATGTCAATTGTGCTTCATATTTGGGATTATAGTCTTCAAGTTTTCTGAAGAATATGTTACAAGCATTAACTCCATTTTCTGGTCTCTTCAGATTCAATAATATATCTGTATCCCTTTTTTTCTTCCTCTTTGCCTTCGCTCAACTTTGCTAATTTTCAATAAGTAATGATTGCTGGTTTCCTATTGTCAATGAATGAGCTTGGCACTGTATACCGTTTGTCTGTAAATGCTTTTTCCTAAACTCCTTGTGGAATTTTCAGGTATGCCCTACTTGGTGCTGCTTCTTTCCTTGGAGGTTCCATGAGGATGACAGTATCTCTTTGTGTCATTATGGTTGAAATTACAAATAATTTGAAATTTCTACCTCTTATCATGCTTGTTCTTCTTATATCAAAGGTATGCACTTTAATGTGAATTTTTTTGTGTTTCTGTTATTCATGATTACACACTAAACCAAACACACCTTCTCTGGTGCAGGCTGTGGGTGATGCCTTCAATGAAGGTTTGTATGAAATGCAAGCCCGCTTGAGGGGCATTCCATTACTTGAGTCAAAACCGAAATACCACATGCGGAAAATGAAAGCAAAAGAAGCCTGCAGGAATCAAAAGGTCAATATCATTAGTTTTTTACCTGCCTCTTCTATACTAATGTCCTCGTATCCAGCTTTCACCTTACAGGCTTGACTACTGTATGTGAAAGGTTGTCTACTTCCCTCGTGTTGTTAAAGTTGCAGATGCAGTTTCCATTTTGCGTAACAGCAAGCATAATGGGTTCCCTGTAGGTCATTCTGGTTCCTCTTCCTTGGCTTGTTTAAAATTCTGGATTATTTAGTTATTTTTGTATCTTGTTGTTGTTGTTGCGTAGGTGGTAGATCAAACAAAGAGCGGAGAGGCACTTGTAATTGGACTTATACTTCGTAGGTATGACATGCTTCTTCCCGTTTTCTTGCTTTAGATGAGTTTGTTCCAGAAGAAGTGGAATCATGCTTCATCAAATTTTAGTTGATTCAAATAACTGGAATGGTTGGTTCTTGTGCAGTTACCTATTGGTGCTTCTTCAGTCTAAAGTAGATTTCCAGCACAGCCATTTGCCTTGTGCACTGAGAAGTGGATCCATACCAATCAGGTAGGTGGAGAGGCTTGATATTAGTCCAAAGTCATCTTTTCTTCCTTATTTTCCAGAAGTTAATGGAAGTGGCTGAATACCCCAGGCACAACATCACTGAATTTGCAAAACCTGTCTCCAGTAAAGGGATATCCATGGATGATATTTTTCTTGGTCCAGATGATCTGGAGATGTACATAGATCTTGCCCCTTTCCTGAACCCCTCTCCATACATTGTTCCTGAAGATATGTCTTTGGCAAAGGTGACGATGGTTCCATCATTAAAAAAAAACATTGAACTTTATTTGTAGATCTTTTCCAGTATAAATAAATAAATATATATAATTGAATCATTGTTTGTAACAATACATCAAAATGATATTACAGGTGTATTATCTTTTTCGTCAACTAGGATTGAGGCACATATTTGTTGTCCCTCGTGCTTCTCATGTTGTTGGCTTGATTACTAGGAAAGATTTGTTAGTTGAGGTACCTAATTGGATCTCTTATGTTTTTCCACTTCATCTCAATGCATAGTAATTGACAGTTGCTTCTTGGAGTGCAGGAAAATGAGGATCCTAGTACAGTGGAGCTCTGGTCAACTATTATAAGGTCTTAATGCAGCTATACCCATTTTATTTCTCTTCTACCTTACATTTGGAGTTATAGAATATTTTTTCGGGTAAGTAAATAAAAAATAAAATTATATTAGTAATAGAAAAGTCGGAATCTGCTGAATTAAAAAAAAATATATATGAAAGAAAGTTGTTTCTTGAAGAGAGGAGGGGAGAAGGAGAAGAAGAGAAGTTGAAAAGAAAAGAGAGCAATAATCTGGCCGCCCCCTTCACTTATTATTTATACTAAAATAATAGACCAGTACAAAGACAACTATGCCCTTATAGGGCGGCAAAACATAAAACAGCATATATAACACTCAAAAAACATAATAAAATTTGGACTCACATAACTACTGTGGTCCCCACCTCCTATCTAACAACTAACATAAAATATCTACTCAGAAAAACATCATAAAACTAATTAATCTTCAACACTCCCCCTCAAGTTGGGAGTAAATGTCACACATTCCCAACTTGCGTAGATCATGTCAAGCTTGTTCCTTGCCACCCCTTTAGTGAGAACATCAGCCAGCTTCAACTCTGAAGAGACATAAGGCAAACAAACTTCTCCGGTTGTTACCCTTTCTCTTATAAAGTGTCTATCAACTTCAATGTGTTTTGTCCTATCATGCTGAATTGGATTGTAGGCAATATTGATTGCAGCTTGATTGTCACAGTTTAACATGATAGGTTCCTTTGCTTTCACCCCAATCTCACTCAAAAGAGATCTAACCCAAAAAAGTTTTGAGACACCATGAGCCATGGATCTATACTCAGCCTCTGCACTTGACCTTGCTACAATCGCTTGCTTCTTACTCTTCCAGGAGATCAAGTTTCCCACCTACAAAGGTACACACTCCTGATGTAGACCTCCTRTCATCTAAGCATCCTGCCTAGTCTGCATCTGTATAGGATTCTAGCTTCAGATTCTCATGATTTGAGAAAAGAATGCCTCTGCCAGGGTGCTTTTTCAGATATGCAAGTATTCTCTCAATAGCTTCCCAGTGCTGAACCCGAGGTGCATGCATGTACTAACTCACAATACGGACAACATAAGAAATATCTGGTCGTGTCATACACAAATACAACAATCGGCCCACCATTCTTTGATATCTCCCCACATCCTTTACCAATTCACCACACCATTAATTCTGTAATTTGGATCAATAGGAGTGGCTGCTGGTTTGGTCCCCAGCTTCCCAGTCTCTCGCAGTAGGTCAAGTACATACTTTCTCTGTGAAATGAAGATCCCATCCTTGGATCTTGCAACTTCAATCCCTAAGAAGTATTTGAGTTCACCAAGATCTTTGATCTCAAATTCTTGTTGCAATGATTTTTTGAGATCATCAATCTCCTCCAGATCATTACCTGTCACCACTATATCATCCACATACACAATTAGAATTGACACAAAAGCATCTCTCCTCTTCACAAAGAGGGTGTATCAGACTGTGTCTGTGTGCATCCAAAACGGATGAGTGCCCCTCTGAACCTGTCAAACCAGGCCCTAGGTGACTATTTCAATCCATATAGAGATTTTTTGAGTCTGCACACCTTTCCTTTACCAAAATTTTCATAAAAGCCTGCTGAAATGTCCATATATACCTCCTCCTGTAAGTCACCATTGAGGAAAGCATTTTTGACATCAAGCTGGAACAAGGGCCATGAATACCGGCTTCTAGAGATAAATGGATACGAACTGAACTCATCTTAGCTACTGGTGCAAAGGTTTCCAGATAATCAACACCATAGGTCTGAGTATACCCTTTTGCTACCAACCTTGCCTTGTACCTCTCTATCTTGCCATCGACCTTATACTTCACTGTGAATACCCTTCAACATCCGACTGTCTCCTTGTTTAGGGGGAGATCAACTATTTCCCAAGTTTGGTTTTTGACCAAAGCATCCATCTCATCTTGCATGGTTGTTTTCCACTCAGGTTTGGAGAGAGCCTCAGTAACGTTCCTAGGTATAGACATAGAATCCAGGGAAGAAAGAAAAGCACGGTAGGAGGGTGATAAGGCACTGTAGGAAAGATGGTGTGAAATGCAGTAGGCTGTACACTTTCTCTTCCCCTTACGAAGTGCAATGGGAAGATCAAGGTTAGTGGGATCAACTGCAACAATGGTGTTAGGGACAGAAACATTATCATCAGAAAACATAACAAGCTCAGGCTCAAGAGGAATACCTTGAACTGTATCTGCCGAATCTGGAGTTTCAGAAGGACTGACAGAGAGTGGTGTGGGTCGAGGATGTGTGGAGTCAACCATCATCTGTCGGCGCTGATATTGCTGTGAGGCTACCCATAGTGGCTCAGGTAATGAAACTAGAGGTACAAGTGCTGGCTGAACTGATGGTGCAGGTGGTGGTTGAACTGATGTAGATGTTGGCTGAACTAATGGAGGCACCACAGAAACAGGAAGAGGAACAGATTGTGAGTTCTCCTCCCCAAAACTCTCCCCCTAAGGAGAACCACTCGAGAAGAAGAATGTGGATTCACAAAAGGTAACATCCAATTTCTTGCAATGAGGGCCAAGAATGTGAATAAAAGAAACACAACCAAAAACCCTCAGAGGTATATGAAATATCTCCCCATTTGGAAAAAGAAGGCTAAATGGCACCTTAAACCCCAAAGTCCGTGAAGGAACACGGTTAATCACATGTACGGCTGTAAGAACTGCATCTCCCAAGAACTGCACAAGAACTGAAGCACACACCATAAGACTCCTTGCCACTTCCACAATGTGTCTGTTTTTCCTCTTAGCAACTCCATTTTGTTGCGATGTATATGCACAATTGCTCTGATGAACTACACCATGTTCTAAGAGATACGTGGTTAGGTCCTTCTCAAAGTACTCTCTGGCATTATTTGATCTAAAAGCCTTAGTTCTCACTCCAAATTGTGTGAGAACCATCTGGTGGAATTGTCGTACTAAGTTAGGAATCTCATCACGTGATCTCATCAAATATATCCAAGAATATCGTGTATAATCATCCACAAACAAGAGAAAGTAACGGAATCCTCCCATGGAAGGGATTTGCTATGGCCCCCATACATCATTGTGAACAATATTATTCTTTTATTACTTGGTTTAAAAGACTGTCTACAATGCTTTCCTAACTGACAACTCTCACACTCCAAAGTAGATAATTGAACAGACTCAAACAGCTTTGGGAAAAGACATTTCAAAGAACTAAAAGAAAGATGTCTCAAGCGATTGTGCCAAAGCATAATCTGGTTCACTGACTCTGACCCACTACTACTGCTGCTGCTAACATGATGGCCCTGATGTCTCGGAATCTCTTCCAGAAGGTAGACTCCATTCACCTCACGACCACTCCTAATCATCTTCTTTGACTCCAGATCCTGCAAAACACAATTACAGGAAGAAAGGTCACAGAACAATTCAAATTTATTGTCAAAGAACTAACAGACAATAGGTTGGTATGAAGTCTAGGGACATGTAAAACAGAAGACAGAGTTATATCATTGGTCACTCTAACTRTYCCCTTCCCAGCAATGGGCRTATGTGAACCATCTGCTGTAGAGACTCTGTCTCTACCAGAGCACAACTGATAGGAACTGAAAATGGTAGGGGCATTAGTCATAT